TTCAGAGACCTACTCTATGCCTAGACCACCAGAGAAAACCCCAGACTGCTACCAAGTATTCAACTCTTAAATGATCCCTACAGAGGCCAAAATAAGAGATAATCTGCCTTCTAAACTTAACGTAATCCTGAAAATTTACTCAACAAGCAGGAAAGGCCATTTTTAACCGAAGTGTTCTTTACTCAGGAAATCCTAGTTCCAGAATAACACAGAATAGCATGTTCTCTTTAGCAAGGTTCAAGTACTTCGCTCTAGTCAGGTCTTCAGATGATCTTGAACAAGGACCTCTCCTCTGGCACAAGCTTCAAGTTCCATGTCCTGTCTCCACTTGTGGTCTGACCTTCTTTTTCTCCTCATTCCTTTTCCTTTTCTCTGTCGTGATCTGATCTTATATGGTGTCTTTCTGGACCACTGATTGACACTTAATAATTTACTCAGAACTTAATTGACTAAGGTAAAGCAGAAGATTCTTCTGATCAGTGTATCTCACGCCCAGCACAACTACAATAAGTGAACATCCCTTGGTCTGAAGCTCTAGGAAGTGGAAATATTGGCCCTAGTTTGGTATTAACCATTGTGTCTAGATTCTTTAAGAGATTTTTTGTCGTCTACCTCAGCCTGTAAAAATAAATTATTTTTACATATATTAATTTTTCAGTATTATTATACAGTTTTGATATTATATTCTTCTGGTTACTTTGCTGATAAGCAGGTATAAAAGTGTCAAGCAGTTTATTACCTTGCTCTATATTTGATTGTTTTATTAAACTATTTACACAGCGTCTAATTTGGAGGTATCTGTAGAAGTCTCTTTTTTCAGGTTGTATTGATGTGATAAATCCTCAAAGTTTTTCAGATGGTTCGGTCATGATACATATTACTGTAATACCCGTCATAGTCCAAGTCTTAAGTAAGATGGAAGATTTTATATTATAAACCAAATTGGAATTAGTACTGTTTAAACTGTTCTGTAGAAATGTCCACTGGAAGAGACTGAACAAGGTCTAATAGTGGTAGCATGTTCATAACGTCCACTATAGATTCCAATGAGGCAGGGAGCATCCAGCTATGTAATCTTTTATTGACACGTTAAAGGGGTTACATTTGAATGTGAGTCTTTATATAAATGTCCTGACAAATATTGGATGGATATTGATAGCCAATTTAGCTTAAACGTTTCTTCTTAATGATCTGTTGGGTTATATTTATAACACCAAACTCCAGTTTTTTTCTATGTTTAGTTTATACCCCGATATCTGACCAAATTTCTCCAGGAGATCCACAACCCCAGCAAACAATTTATTAGGATCATCCAAATGCAGCAGGATTTTGTCTATGCAATGCTATTTTATATTTTTGTCCTTTGATTTTTATTCCTTTAATTTTTGGGTCTTGTCTAATCCATTCTACCAGGGGTTCTATATATAAAAAGAACAGAATGGGTGACAGGGGACATCCCTGTTTTATATGTCTTTTAAAGCTAAATCTGTTAGAAAGATTTCCATTGACCTTAATTAGTGCTATAGGATTTGAACAGATTATTTTAATTGTATTAATAAATTTATCAGCAAATTCATATCTAATGTTTTATATACAATTTCTCAATTGTATCAAACAAAACCTTTTCTGCATCTAGACTAACCAAGAATGCCCCTAAATTTTGATCATCAATATGCTTTATAGTACGGAGGGTGTGCCATCCATTGAATTTGTCTGTTCTGAATAAATCTGGTTTGATCTACATTTTTTAGTTGGGGTAACATTTTCTCTAATTTTTCAGTCATTATTAAAACATACGTCTTGTGGTCTACAGTGCATATGGAAATTGGGCAGAAAGATTAACATCTAGTTTGATCTGTTCCTTCTTTTGGGATCACTTTGCTGTTTTCAGGGACTCACACCAGTGGTGTCCACTCTCAGTTTTGCTGTTTGCTTTAACTAACCATGCTGTCCATGAATCTACCATGCTGTCTCCAATTCCTGTTGCCTTTTACTCCTGTTCCTGTAGACTCTTCCTCTCTCATCTCTCCCCCAATTTCTCTCTTTTCTGCAGTTTTTCCCTTTGTCTATCAGAATATAAAATTAATGAATCCCCTAATCTGCATTGCAGCCATTAACTTTTGCAATGGAGAAAGACAGGTCTTTCACTGGTGAAATATTTCAATTATCCTGGTTTTGAGACTTCGTAACAGTGGCCTCCCTCATGCCCTCAGTATGTAAAAGGATGGTAGGTCCAGACAACAAGGCAGTTTTTGCCTAAGATCCTCAGAGTATAATTGGTAATGCAGTGCCACCGTCAGACACTGTCTTCTTTCTCTACCTTATCACCAGCTAGTTTTCTTCAGCCTTTTCCCCTGATATTTACTATGGTTGCAGCAGCTGATGTAATTCTTATTTTTTAATGATTCTTATTCTTATTCTTTTACTCTTTCTTACTTCTAACCCCAAAGGATCTCAAAACACATTTTAAATATGGGAGGGGAGCCACTCCACCCTCACTGGAATGCAGCCTCACTTGATTTACATACATCTGATCAGAGAGAGAGAGGACCTGCTTTCCTGTGGTGAATTAAGCAGTGCCACAGGTGCTCTGTTAAAGGACTTCCTGGGATCTTTGCCATATCCCCTCAGCTCAGACAGGCTGTACGGCATTTCAAAGCAGGTTCTGAAACAAATGGTCAGAAGATGACATTCTTGGTGCTGGGTGTGACAGGGCAACACAGTCAGCAAGTGGAAAAAAATCACACACATGATCACCTTCCCATAAGAAAACAGTTTTAGCCTCCAGTAAAGAGGAGTGATGACAAAGTGAGAGGAGATAGATTTATCCAGACCTGAGATGTGTGATGTCACAGTAAGAGGACCAAATGAAACTATTTACTAGAAGTAAGTATAAGGTTTTTTAACTCTTATAATGCACACTGACAAAATTCTATGGCATTTCGATTATCCATCCATTCATCAATTTTCTAACTGCTTTATCTATTTTCTAACAGTGTCAAAGAAGAGTCAGATCCTATACCAGCTAACAACAGGGCACATGGGATGCCAGTCCATCACTGGGCATACACAGACACAGACATGCACACAGTCATAACAGGCCAATTTACCTGCCAGTATTACCAGCACTAGGAGGAAACCGTGTGAATATGGGAGAAACATACAAACTCCACAGAGATAGGACCCCAGAATTGACCTGGGCTCCAGCACTGCAAGGCAGCAATCAATGCTGACCATCACGCCACATTTCAATTATTACATAGTTATTTCTGTTTTTATATTATGTTTGCACTTTCCTGTGGATTCTTTAGGTTAGGTATCATGGTTTACAGCATATAACAGGACAATATAACATTGTACAGCTGCCATAGATAAGTGGAAGGCACACACATCTGAGCTTGGTTAGTACAGAAAGGCGGTCTCCAGCAGGGAGAGTATCTGTTCAGGTATCCTGGTTGTAGCAGAGCCGAAGCCTCTGCATTGAGAATTTAAAGGACTGAGGAAATACACATGTGAAAATGTGTTTTTCACTGATAGGTTGCAGAAATAGTGAATCAGGTAGGAGGAACTGGAGGTTTTGCACATAATGAAATCCTTCTGATAGTATACACCCAACAGTGAATTTAAAAAAAAACACTCACACCCTGTCTGAGCTCCGGCAGGAAGACTAAGATGTATCAAAACCAGAACAGAGGAGTTCTGGAAGTGCACCTACCCTGAAACTATTCGGTCCCTCAACTCAGAACTGTTACAAACATAATTTATTGAATTTGTGGGTTCTAGTTTCACTGTAACGAAGCATCAAATTGTTTTTGTATATGATATTTAGATGTTTTTTATGATTTTTGCCTCTTTCCTTGTATCTGTCTTTTTATACAGTATATCTCTGTTATTTCAAGAGCACCACAAAAAATCCTAACAACCCAAAGGGTTGGTTTGGCAATAAAGTTGACTTTAACTTCTGACAAGCCAGGTACCCTTAATATGTTTGAATTCAGCAAGAGAAGTGTTCTGTGACATAATGTACGCAAAGGCTCAGCAACATCAAAGCCATTGCTTGGCACCTGGGAAGGACATCCTTAAGACAGTGCTACTCTCCAGGACCAATTCTGCATCACAAGTGTCTATTTCTGAATCTGAACATTTGAGTTTTCTGTGTTTTCTTTTGCATTTTGATGGGCCGTGGTATTTGTATTTCCAATGGTCAGATTTGAGAGCCGTGCTTCCTTTTTGTGTCTTAATGTCCTCAGAGGCCCGGATCACGAACTTCTGTCCATTGCAAAGTCACTCGACAAACACAAGAACACCTGACTTTTTTTGGGTTTAAACAAAATTGTCTTTATTTTATTTGTTTTGTTTATAAAATCAGCTTCTGTCTGCTTTGTAATGAATGATGAAGGGGTTGGACAAGTCTGTAAGTATGTGTCTACGTGTGTATCTGAGTGCTGTTAAGGCAACATGCAGTCTTTAGTTTCCAATGGCTTAATGAAATAAAATTTAAAATACGTGTTCTAGTGACCTAAAGTAGACAAGGGTGTGCGGTGTGGCAGGGACTTGGAGCTGAGGGAGCAGAGGTGTATATGAATGTGTGCCGCTCGGACAGTGCTGGGAGGAGGGAGGGGTTATCCTTCTCCTTTGCGGCTGAAAATGAAATTCCCTGAAACTCACACTCTCCCCATGTTTCTGCTGAAGGCTGCTGTTATAGTCACACCTCAGTTTTGCACCAAGAACAGTTGTCTGTGGCAAAACTATGCCCACTCATTTTTGACTCAAAACATCACGTTGCAGAAATTGTGTGCACCTGCTTTGTTGTTAATAGTGTTGATATTATAAACATTTAAACCCCCTTCATCAGAACTCCAAAAGGGTCAGAAGAACTATTTCACAAACCACTCTTCTTAACAGCCAGACAGATTTCAACATTATGGCTGACTGGCGCAAATGCACATTTTTTAACCTGTTTATTTTCTCCCATGGTGCAACAACAGAATGACACAGGATTAAATAGAGTGGCTGTTTATTTTGTTGTTTACCAGACTAGTACTAGGCAATGCCAGGAGGGATGGCGGTCTTGAGGGGTCACGAATTAGGGCCAGAGGTGACCAGAGACAGTGGAAGCTCTCTAAGACAGATGTAACGCTGACAGCAATTCAGAGAGCCAAGAAAAAGTTTGTGAACCCCAAAGATAAATATGGAAATGTCATAGGTTTCCCATGATAGCCTTGAACCTGTATTTATGGAAATATCTAACAGGATTTATATGAAAAAAATGATGAATAAATTAAACAAACAATGAATAATTAATCCTGACTTGTGCCCGATGCTAGCTCCCTTGCGTTTAATTAATGTACAGGGGATGTAAAAACAAATGTCAGTCCCTAGTTTCATTACCTTAGTTAAGGGAATAATTAGAATCAAATATTTAAATAATTAGCTAGATCTTGGAGATTGAGTTTGGAAGGCCCCACTCTATATTAAGATCAGAAATGCTCTGAGACGGGTTTTCATCTTTTCTGTGGATTTGGAACTCCACCAACATACTGTCAGACAGTGCACAAATGGAAAAAGTTCAAGACACACAGTTATTCTACCCAGGTGCAGTTTCCTACTTAAATCTCTCCTGCAACAAACTGGAAACCCATTAAGGATGTTATAATAAATATCGGAGTAACATCCAAGGAACTGCAGGTCATTCTTGATTTGATAAATGTTGGAGTTCAGAACTCAATTGAATCAGAAAAGGTCTGAAAAAAATGGTACTTATAGAAGAATAGGAAGGGGAAAACCACTGCTCTACAAAAATAACATTGCTAGATACATCTGAAGTTAATCAAAAAGCACATAGTTGATCCACAAGGCTTCTGGAACAATGTTCTCGGGCCAGAAGAGTTAAAGGAGAACTGATGGCACTGGCACATTGATGGCACTGTAGTGGTTTGGGGCTGTTGGTTCAGGACCAGGACAGCTTGCCATTATTGACACAACCTTGAGTCCTGCATTGTACCATGAAGACTCAAGAGGAGAGTATCAGGCCAGCCATTGGTGACCTGAAGCTGAACCTAAAGTGGGTTTGCAGCAAGACAATGATCAGAAACATATGCACAGATCTAAACCTCATCAAGATGTTGTGACAGAGACTGACGCAAGCTGTCCATGTGAGGCAGAGCTCACAGAGTTGAAGGATTTATGAAATTAGTAATGAGCTAAAATCATGTATTATTTGAAGGTAAATAAATGTTGAAAGACTATATGTTAATGTCATTTGTTTAATCAGGTTGACTTTATTTTAGTACTTAGATTAAGATCTAATAACATTTTAGGTCTCAAATACATGAAATTAAAAAAAAAATACTAAGGGTTCACAAACGTGCTCACTACTGCAGCTGAAACTCAAAGAGCTTGCTTAGCCACACTGGGAACCTCTCAGAAGAAACACCCTAGAGATCATCAGTGATTCTGCAGAAAAAGGAGGAGCCTTGTGGGCTGAAGGGTCCATTCAGTTCTGGAGTTTTCTTTTCCTCTTAAGCAGAACTGCTTGAGCATTGAAGATTTTTCCTGTACTCTTGACAGTCAGCTATGTGTTTATCACTGCTGATGTTTACTGTTTAAATTCTGGACACATTGCCAGCAGTGTGCAGTGGACTATCTCTACTGTTGGCACAGAGTGCGTCTTCCAAGGGTGATCATGACCACTGAAAAAGCCTCTGAAGAGCACCTATCTGAGGAGAAGGGTAGGATGGTGGGTGGTGATCAATAGTGGAGGGGGGGTGGGGGTTGGAGGTTGAGTTGAGGGAAGTTTTCATTTTGTCTTCTTTAGGTCAACAGGTTATTAGTGTAAACACATCCTAGAACTGTGGAGTCTTCAGGTGGAGAAGCAAGCCCAAGGGCTCCCCCTGCTGGCTGGAAGGGGAGAGCTCCATTGTTCCCATGACAAAAGGGCTAGTGGCCCACCTGCGAGAGAACGGGAGAGCCTGTCAGGTCCTGGATTGGTATCTTACTCTACTCCAGTAAATGTCACACATCATAGTTCTCCAAACAGGTGATCATTTGCCAGTGTTATACCCACAGGATGCCAGTCAGACCCAGACTGGGAGCTTTCAGCTACTAGTTCTTCCATTTGAGCCAACAGCAGGTCCTAAATATTTCATGCCCAATACTTAATACTGTGTAAATTTAACTGAAAAGCTGGAATTGCCATATGTAAAATATACTCACCTTTCAAACCAGAAATAACCAAAACAATTGGGTTTTTATCACATCTCTTAAAAAGTGATGTCAAGGTAACTGATTGCACACACCCTCCCAGATCCCTCTCACCTGCTCTACAGCGTCTGTAGCCTGCTCTACAGTGCCCTCTGGTGGACGGGAGAAGTCCTCCTGTGTGAAGGACAGAGAGACACATTAGCAGGACTTCAGACAAGCTATACTGGCTGTTAGTTTCACAGCAGCGCAATCCTGGGCCAGGCTAATGTTCAGCATTGCAGAGGTTACTCATAGCAAAGCACAGGCTTTTTAGTGCAAATTAACTTTCCAGTTTACCCCTTGATAAAATTAACAAGAGGTTATTCCTATTGGTACAGCAAAGCCCCACATGCAGAGAGCTCTAAAACTTCATCCTCATTCCAGCCTGCCCAACTCAATGACTAAACATCATAATAACATGGGGGTGGAATTTCAGTGCACAGATGTTGTTATACCAGTAGAATTTTATATACACCTGCAGAATTAGCCCTGTCTTAACTTTGCATAGTCACAATGGTTTCAAGCCCACATTACTACCAGTAACGAAAGAACAGTTGATGTGTTGGACAGTTCAGACTCACATGTTCTACAGACAAAACACGAAAATGTGACTCATGTCCATAGTCAGGGTTGACCACGCCAGTGTTACAAGTTCTACAGACAAAGCAAGAAAATGAAACACTGGGGTGGCCAACCCTGACCACGGACATGACCCATAAAACATGCTGACTCAAAAGGATAAGAGATGTCAACAACTAATTTCTAAAAGAAGTCATGTGGAAAACTGATACATGTGCCATAGGAATGGCAGTACGTAAAAACATTGGACAAAGTCTATTTTGGAGGGTACTCAGTGTGATACAGAAGGATGATCTGTATTTGCATTGGCAGCATTGAAAAATGTCACAAGAACAACTTCTTTTTATTTCTAACAGACCATCCTTCATTTTCCCTAGACATTGTTTACTCTGATCAATGCCCAGAAGCTCCAGTGGAGCGCCTTGTCCACACACAGCACCGAAAGCAACCTCTGTCATGGTCTGATTCCCCTGAGCCTTGTAATCTGTGTCCTGTCCTGGGCACATGCGTGGTGGGTAGAGGCTCTTGAGTATCAACTGCCAACAACAGCACGAGAGCATCGTAGTGTAAGGTGTCATAATCACAGAGCTCTGAACAAGTATATGCACCTTCTGAAACTCTCTGCTGGGTGAAGTAAAGGAAGATTTTGCAAAAAGACACATGCAGGCAGACACAGAAATACACAATCTGCACCTCTGTTTTGTACATACTGATAACTGTACTACAGCTGCCAGTCCAGTATACTTTCCATATCTCCTCCATCATCCTGCCTTTTGTATTCATTATCATTATCTATCTCTCTCTCTGTGTCTGATCTCTCTCAAGGACATCTTACTGCTGCCGGACTTTCACATATTACAGGAGTCAAAATGACAACTCCAGGATAAGACAATACATCTTCAGTAAGTCTGGACTTAAGGGTCTCATAAAATAAACTAATAAACAACAATAGACAAATATCAAAATGCAAATAAAACAACTTTGTAGAACTGTTCAGTCTCCTGGTGTTGGAAAATATTTAAAACTTTTTCCACAAGACTTAATACAGTATACTGCCTTATATACACTATATATTTCAATTGATGAAGTAAAAGAGCTCTTGACTGGAAATGCGGTAGTACAAAACAATTTGCAGTTAATTAGCACAATCATGAAAAACCAGGACTGAAATAAATTGACAGGAGGCCGTGAACTCCTGGATCTTAGACACATCAGGCCCTGATTGGCCAGTCCTGGTTTGGTGTCAGTCATCAAAGAAGCTTGCAAGAGTCAATTGTGATCAGATGGCACTCTGCCTCCTTGTGATTAACAGTTTATCTGCCAGACTCTGGGATCGAAACAAGCATGAACTGTTGAGAAGGCAAATGAAGGGTTAAATAGTTGACATTTGAAGAGGAGTAATGAGGCAGGTTTCTCAAGCATATTAACATGCAGATGTAGTCTATTCCAACAGCTTTCCTACTCTCAGGAGAAAACATGGCTCACACTTTCAACTCTGTCCATAGGCATTCAATATCCACTGTTGCAGGGCCTAATGGTTTGTGACTGGACCCAAACTTTTAACTCCTTCATTAAACTAATAAGTTGGGTTTTTGTGACCAATTGGCATTGTGACAATAGAATTAGATGATGGCACTTGCTTCAAGGTACTGTATATCATCTGTAAAACATATTTTGGTAAATGACAAGTTCCAACATTTTCTAACCATTTCCTGTCAAATAATTAACTTATCTGCATCAAGGTGAAATCCCTCACCACCCTGTGTTTATAGAGTCTTTTATGATTTCTGTAGTACTACATAATTAGAGAACACAAGTGAATAAGACTTTGGTCCATTGCACATCAACTAGTGTCTATGCTGCTGGGTAAAATCACCACCTTCTACAACTGATCCAGAGTGATACCCGCTCCTTTCTCAAACAAACTCATCAGTCCAGAGAACTGCAGAGGGTTAAAACACATGCTGGTCCCCCAGGAATAGAGATCCACTCAGAGAGTCTCACTAAAGTGTGCCACCTGCTGTATTGACTCCTAGACACTGCGGTCCAGTGTGACCCAGCCTGGAGTTCTTCTCCCTCCCTGTAAGATGGCAGAGCAGCAAGGAGCCAGCTGACAGAGGGGGCATGGAGGGGTTGGGAACTACATGCTGTGCTAACCTCCCCTTTCCACCAGACCCCACACCCTCCCTCTGCACCCCAAGTAAAAGGCACCTGGTTTACAGCGTCATCCTGTCGCCAGCCACAGCCGTGTTCCAATGGGGGGAGACAAAGATGACAGGTTAACAACAGGACACATGCCTCTGTGGAAAAAGCAGGACTCACTCCAGTCCTGCACGATGACACGCTGGTCACATGGCTTGCCCAGTGCCTCAGGACGGTGCATTTACATGAATATTAGGAATTAACATTCATACTGTACATCAACGCTGAGCGAAGACAGGGCTCCAGTTCGCAGTAGGCAAAAGTAACAGGTCCATTTACTAAATTTACTAAATTCACTGGAATCTGAACATATTTCTTCTTGAAAAGACAGCATGAGTGATGGGATATATTCTCTTGTTAGGACAACTCTGTTGCGAAAAAGAAAGTGACAAAGGTACAAAGGTAAGATATTTTTTGTTTCCTCAAGTGCTTTAACAAATGTCTTTCCTTCTGAGGGTGTGCATCACAGAACTCCTTGTTGTTCTTCTCCATTTTTATGCTTAACCCTATCACTGCTTTGCCTTACTGAACCCCATACCATGAGGAAGGGCTGCCCCCCTTTGTTTGCCCTGCTACTCACCGGGTTCACAACTCCAGTGGAGGCCACAACGTTCTCCACTCCCTCCACCGTCTTCGCAGACACCTGGTTGGCGCTGCCCACCACTGTCTCGCCCACGATGTTGGCCTGCTCGGTGGTCTTCTGGGCCACTGCAGCACAGCAAGAGCGCAACAAGACAGCAGCATCAGCATGAAGAACACTGTCAAGAACAACACCACAACTGTGAAGATAAATGAGCTCCAGGCAAGATGTCTACTTGTTGTTCTTTACAGCATTGTCGCTTTTGCGAAATATCATGTTCCAGTTTAGTGGCCCCCTGCCTCCAGGCCTCAGCAAACCCTTCTGTTCCACTTCAGCTCTATGTAATTAAATCCTGGATTAAAAAAATAATTTGATATTTTTTCATAATTTAAAATTTCTAACTTTAGAGACAAGGGCCACTCAAGACTGCATCAATCCAGACTCAAAATGCTTTGGCCCTTATTTTAACGGATGTTAAACCCATCGAGGTAGAAGCTTACGTCAACATCAGCCACCAGGTAATATTACCAATCTGGTGGATGGCCTGCAGACTGAATGGAACAACATTCTTGTGGTTTGTGTGCAATACCTTTGCCAGTCTTAACACATTTTCATGCATGTGTTTGACATAATGGTAGGCACCACTGTGACTCTGATAGGAGCTCTTAAGCAAGTTGAAAGAAATGATGGAGTAATCCTTTCTGTGGTGGACTGCACGGCAATCCATCTGTAATTTTTTAATCAGATTTGTTCCCCTTCTTGAAGATTGTCATGATCATAGCATACCTGAGGTCATCAGAAATGTCATCATTATTCTACACCCTCAAATAGAGGACATGGAGCTGTGATAAGAGTTCGAGTCTCAGAGTTACCAAGATACAAGAGTCTCAGTTGAGATGATCAGCCTTTTGAACTGCACCTTCCAACACATGTTAAAAGTTTCATTTTCCTTCACCATATTTCCTCTATTCAATCTCCTCTAAAGCATCTCAAAGTGCTCAGACCATAGAAAGTTTTTGTGGCACTGAAAAACCCATGCATATTGTTGTCATGTCATGTCATTCTCCAAACTGCTTTATACTATACGATGTCATGGGAAGCTGGAGACTACCCGGCAAGCAACAAGCGCAAGGCAGGGTACACCCTGGACGGGGCGCCAGACCATCGCAGGGCAAGTGCAAGCCAATCATACACTGGGACAATTTGGAGGCCACTGTAAAGGCCGAGGGGGGAAATTTAGGACTTCGGTTTAATGTCTCATTAAAGGACGGCACCCACCCACTACAGCACATTGTCCCTGTCACTATATTGGGGCATTAGGACTCACACAGACCCCAGGGTGGGCACCCCCTGCTAGCCCCACTAACACCACTTCCAGCAGCAACCATAGCTTCCCAGGAGGTCTCCCACCCAGGTACCAACCAGGCTTAATGCTGCTTAGCTTCAGTACGGCTGCTCGTGCATATTGTTGACATATTTAATATACCTCTGTTGCTGATGCTTCTTTGAACTTCTGCCTTGAATTGTGTTTGATTCAGTTTCTCTTGTTTGGATGTGACATTAATTAAGTGCCATTCTGCTAAAAACCCAAAGGCTTTGCTCTTGCTCTTACCCAGCTCCTTCTTCTCCAGGCCATTCTTATCAAACTAGTCCTGATGTTTCCTGGTAGAGAACACCTTTCAGATGTTGAAAATGGTGGTCTTAAATACATACTGCTAATACTTTGCCACTATTGTTGGTTTACACTAGTAGTCTTTCATTAAGGCACTGTTGAGGAGGTCTTCCTTGATAGGTCCTTTCGTGTTAAACGTACTTTGTCATTGCTCCTACTACAGTTGTTGCATGGGAGCCAGTTTGATGGGCATGGGAGAGTGGATAAGTCAATGAGGTGTCCAGAAAGTGTCCATTCATGACACAGTTTGATGCTTATTGTGATCCAGGGAACAAACAGTGACAAAGTGCCAGTGCTGTAATTGTGGTTTTTCTCATGATGTCTTGGTGTTGATGCATTCAGTCAGGTGAAGAATACAATTGAAGAAGTTTGAGTACCCGTCCTTGCATCAAGGTTGTTGAGAAGAATAATTCTCTCACTGGCATGTCAAAAAGGACAACTGAGTTATAAAGTGCTCTTTGATTTTGATAGATGTTTCTTTCTAATACATTGATTCCATTTCACTCCTGGCTTTCACAAGGCACCACTTACATAGTCCTCACTGTCAGCTCCAGGAAAAATGTCAGGATCAATGTAAAGTCACCTAACAAATAGCACAGTAGAGGATCCTTCCTGAAGTATGGATGGTCCCCAAAATTTATATCTCCTCTTCACCTGTTTCATATATCAGCAGTGATTCTAAGTAATGGACCCATCAAAAACCCCTCTGAAATTAAAACAGGAGTCAAGCAAGTCTCTGTCGCTACTCCATATTCCATATAATCGTGGAATTCCATATAATCCCGTATTCCATACTGTTTTGTTGCATCTGAGGAGATGTAAGCTCTCAGGAGACAGAAAACAATGTGCTGGCTTTATCCTATCCTATCTGACTCCAATCAGGAGCAAAGACCATCCCCATTTGGGTCTTTGAGCTCCAGTACACTGACAATGTTGTAGCATGTTCTCACGCAAAAGCAAATCTTCAAGCATCTGTCAATATCTTTACTGAGACACACAAGGAAATGTGATTGATGCTTAACACTCAGAAGAATAAGTTCTCTCAACAACAAGCTCTCAAAAAACTTTTTTTTGTCAATTTTAGCCATCTATGCTGAGCATGCCCTATAAGTCATCTTGTGTAGATGGCTGAAATTAACAAAAAGATCTGACATTTTGCAATTTCTTTTCCTATCTGAGAAAATCGGCATTTGAAGATTGCAACATCAAATCTGAACACAAACTAATGGGCTGCTGAGCAGTCATAATCCCCAAGCCACTCTGTGAAGCTTAGATAATGTGCCTCAAAACATTGGAGAAGTATCATAAACATTGCCTGAGTCCTCAAACAAACAAACTAACATTAGCATCCTCTCACAAACAATCACGACAATTATCAAGACAATGATCTTCCCACATTAAACTCATTAGGTCAGCCATTTTTATCTGGGTGTCCAACTCTAGACTCTCAAAGCAAGCTCTTTTGACCCAGTTAAATTAGATTTGAATAATGGCACAGACTTGCACTAAGATTTGCATGAATTATAACATCAACAACAGCTCGAAAGAAAGTCTGACTTTGGATTTCCCCAGATGGTGGAAGAGCCTGCTGGAATGATCTCATCTCCTTGAAACCACATGATGCTACAAGAAAAGGCCAGAACTATAGGAATACGTCAAGGTACCAGGGCCATCCATTCTCCTGGAAAAACATGGCCCAAACTGCAGCAGATGCTGTCTATCCAAAACTCATGAGCCATCTCCTGTCGATCATAAGTTCCTCTTCTTAAGGGCGCTCCAGCTCTTCCTTGTTTGTGTTCATTCTTCATTCTGTGTTCATCTTGGAGCGCCTGGCCCTGTTATCCCTTTTTATTTCCTTGACCCTTCACTGGATCCCGCTCCAGCTTTTAACTTTCGCCCTGTTATCCCCCAGTTTGTCTACCAGCCCTGCTCCTAGTCTTCTTTCTCCCATGTTTGTTACACTCCCTTCGGATTCTGCCTTCTGCACAGGGTCCTAAAAAACGCTTCGTGTCATCTCCAGCCTTACAGATGAGAATCATCCTTAACTGCTAGGGATGCCAAGAAAGGACAAAGCTTCACATTGATCATGTATGCAGAAGCACATGACCACACAACACTTTCAAACTTTGCTAGAATTTCTATACAAATACATCCTCAATGAAATGGGTTCACAATCCAAACATATGTAAATCTAATAACTTCTGAGTACTGTTTGCTGAATCCCAAATGAATGAATCCTGAAACAGCTACAGGTGCTACCTAGGATGTAGGAACTGCCTTCAATGTCTACAGGCCAATTGAATGGGGTTGCAAAAGCTAGAAGACGTGTGTATGGATGAAAAGTCACAAAAACAATCTGCTTGGCTACTGCTGACCTTTGTTTTCCATGTTTAAATGGGTTCAAGACCAGAAGCAAAAAAAATGTATTTTGTCCTTAGGCGCACTGCACAGAACAACATCATATATTGGAAAGAGAAACAGCATAACATGAGTAATGCAAACAGCTGCAACAATACCCCTCTGGCCAAGCCATACCTGTGTTTACACTGTGTACCACACCTTCCTTTGTCTTAGTACCTGTCAGGAAAAAAAGGAAAGGGAAGTTACTTTTCTTTTCTCTTCAATTAAACAGTACACATATCCTTCCTTTTCAAAGGCTCTTCTCCACCAGCAGCAATAATTGTGATGAGGCCTCTGAACAAACTACTGCACTGATTTTGCACTGCTTACCCAGAATTTCATCATGTTTCCTCTGTGCATTTACTCTGCTGTGCTATTGATCCCACAAGCAGGCTGTGTTTAACAAACTACTCTACTGTTTACCTCCCTTTTACCATCACTTTGTCACTTTTCTTTTCTCATGACAAACATCTGGAAGATGAAAAAGAATGTTGTTACATGATAACAGCAGGTCATTCAGCCCTTCAGTGTTCATAATTATTCTCTATGATTCCATCACAGCATGAAGGATAGTATAAGAAGGATGAGTCCGCGCTCTTCCGCTCTTAGCTCTTCAGGCTGGGGCTGGGAGCACAGACATCCATTCTCTGAGAGCTGTCCTACAGCACTGTCTCTGCTGCATCCAGCACCACTTACATGTTTGATGCTCAGGCAGGATTTCTTTAACTCTGCGTCACTTTCATTGGAATTAATCTTATATTAAAAACATTTTCGTGAAAACATGGAAAGGCACTAGCCAGGTATCATCTTTGAGAAAAAAAAAATTAAATGCATTCCAATTGAGAATCATTCACAACGTGTCATACCAGATTGTGTACATGTACTCATCAACCTGTAATAACAAATGAGTAACTTTACACAGTCAAAAACATCAGTAAGAATTAAAATGAATACAATAAATGTATTATCTTCTTACACAATTACTTTAAAATGTGTGACCACCCTGCAGTGAACACTATCATATAAAAGTCAAATTGGGATTTTCTTTGAAGTGACTTGCAAACAGCAGAATTTTGCAGGAACTAATATTCAGTGATAGACTCTGATAAGATAACCATAGTAATTTTGTAATACTGGTAAATGGCATGTGTTTGCTTCTTGTTAAATATTTGAGAACATGGAGAATGGAGAATCCCAGACTTTTCTAGTCTCCTGTTTCAGTAACTTGCTGTTGTTGGGATCACTCATTGCCGAAGCACTCAGGATCTGAGTTAATGAGGTAGTTTCATAAAATAGTTTTAGAAATGTAAGATACCTGATGATTTAACTAAATAAAGAAAAGTGGTGGAAATTCTTATTTTGGCAATTCATGTAATTGAATAACTTTGCTGGAGAGACATTAAAGTGTGCCAAATCTGTTAACTTAGTTGATTTATCTTTTTTCCAAATTAGAGGCAGCTTTGTTTGTAAGGTTAGATGTCACATGCTGGGGTGACATTCCTCTAGGTGGTGTGATCTTCTGCCAGGAACTTGGCATGATTCTTGACCACTGTCACACAGTTGCTTCCCTACATGATGTTGTTCTGAAATGATCCAGGTGTCACACACTGACATCAGAGAGTGCCACGCCTTTCTGTTGCTCGCCCACACCACTCCAAGATCCCCTGAAGACAGCTGCAGCTCTGTTCCTCTCAGACCCCTTTGATCTGATCACGTACAAACAGAAGCGCCTCCACAACTTCATACACTACAGAACATGGCATTATTACGGCCCTAAACAAGAGAACCATTTACTGCTATTCTTTGATGAAGACACCCAGGGGACTGTTCTGCAGCATGTTTGAAGTGCTCAGTGCAGGAAAAGACATGATGCTCCTCTCACACTGCTGCCAACATCAGGAGAGAAAAAAGACTGTAAGCCACTGAAACGTACCCTGGCTAATTTGTACATTTGTCTTGGTGCAGGGGATTTTTAGGAGGAGGACATTTAAAGAATTTATTACTTATTTTCCAAAAAGGTCTGGTGATCCTGTGGAGGCATTTGTGCTTTGTAGCCATGTCATTCAGTGATTAAACCCTTCTGCCTTCAACCTGCCAACCTTCTGCCTGCCCCACAGCTCCTAATATAAAACCTTTAACCTTTTCCTCTCCACACAGGACTCAGCATTCAGCCGAAAAGTGGATTTTAATCCTCTGGATTCCTCCTTGATCTCAACAAACCACTGGATGCCATCATGTGAATCCAGGGGTCTGACATTGAGAAAATGCAACCATGTGGAAAAATACCATGCAAAACAATGAGCAGACACAGACCCAATCAATTCAGTGTTGTTTCTCAACCATATAGAATACAATATACAATAGTATATTGTATACTATTGTATATACAATAGTGCAGAAGGCAGATATTTTATGTTTGTCCAATACTTTTTTTTGCATAGTCATTTTCATTTTCAACAGGGCTCTGCGCTCTATCCTATGTCTTTTAGGATACTTGTTTGGCTGTAAGTCCTCTTTCTAAGCTGTTGCAGCCTTGTCATGTGTCTGGGATCTAAAGGCAGTGGCTGATGTACTTGCAGCACTCTCCAAGAAGATGTACTGTACAATGACACCCTGGAATGCCACTCTGCCCCTTCTGAAACTTCCGATTAAAAGTGGCCTGCACACATTAATATGACTGCTTACAAAGCTTATTGCTGGAGGGCAGGATTTGTTTCATTTTATTTTTATCCCAAAATAAAAATCCATCTAAAACACAAAAATTACAATAAAGTAAAACACAGTCCTTTTTCGGACCTATGCCAGACCTTTATAGCCAAAAGCTATATCACCCTGCAACTCACAATTAACAACCCACTGAAGTTCAGCAGGTGTGAGCCTGGTCGCTACCTGGATGGGAGACCTCCTGGGAAAGCTAGGGTTGCTGCTGGAAGAGGTGTTAGTGGTGCCAGTAGGGCGTACTCACCTGTCATTCAGATGAGACATGAAACTGAGGTCTGTGGTTATTAAAAATCTTAAGGCCTGTCTTGAAAAGAGTAGGGGTGTCCTGGCTAAAATTTCCCCTGGCCTTTACCAATCATGTGATTGACCAATCAGGTCTCCTAATAATGCCTGTCTATGAATGGGCTTCATTAGCCAATCAACAGAAGCTCAGCTCAGACAGTCAGTTAGAACAGGGTTCTGGAGTCTGTGTCTGGAGAAAAAGGCAAGCATCTGCAAATCAATTAAGGTGTACAGAAGCTCTTTGAAAACAGGAATATTATTTGCTAGTAACTTCCATGTCCCCAGGTCTGCCTCATGTGGGTTTTTGAAGAATCGCAGTGAATATGCAGAAGGAAAGCTCCCAAACATCACTGCTGCAGGGCCCTAGCACTTGCTATTCATTTGTAGCTCTGAGGATACTTTGTTTAATTGTCGGATTCATTGGAGAGCTGTGAGCTGTGACCTTTAGGAAGGCAAACTTCAGAAGATAATGGGTCTCAACTAAACCACTATACTTGAGTACACCTTTAACTATTAACTACTAGCTAACACCAGAGCATAGCATAACATCAAGACACTTCACAATATCTGACTGGACTGAAGAAAGTACTGTGCCCCTTTATATTAAAACAAAATCTCCCTAGATTTCATATCGTGCTTCTGCGTTTGTATAAAATTGAGCCTTCTATAAAAAAAACTAACAGCACAGTTAGCAGATACTCTGTGAGGGTGTTTGTGTCTACTCCGTATTGTGGCTGCTGTTGTGTTGTGCAAACTGCATGTTTTTGACTTACTGCTCATTCCTGTACCACGGGGCTTGCCTACCATTGGTTAGAAAGAGGGTCAGTGCACATTTCTGTTGCTATGAATATCAATGCCATTTCCTGATGAGAAAGAGAGGAGACAGTAAATACCCCCAGCTGCTGCAGGTACTGTGAGCTGAACGCAATGAGAGACTAGTGCTTTGAGGGTGGAGGGTGGCACTCTGACAAGTACACGGGTACACTGCCTTTCAAGAGCACATGGCTGATTGATGTCACCAAGGTCACTCCCCCTAGCGTGGCCAATCTTGCATTAGTGCCTGATCAATAACCTTTTTGCAAGGTTGCAACTGCGGTCTCAGACGTGCTTCATAGCACAGTGCTGCAGATCAGCTGTGATAAGGGCTGCTGCAGTCTGGCTCCAGCTCGGCAACAAAACAAACAGCAGTGAGGGCATCGTTTTCAGAAGCGTGACGTTTAGAGACAGGTCGCCGTGCGACAATTCACTGCTTGATAGCTGGTTTTGCGGAGACATGTTTTATCCCAGCAATACCCAGCTGTGGTGACATCTCTTGTTCTGCATGTTAGGAGACACCATTCAAAAGCTCAGGACAAAATAAGTATGGTATTATATTTATAAAAACTATAGGTACGCAAAATTCCTGTAAAAACATTTACACTATATGAAAACAAAATTAAAAATGCTTTGGTGTGAAAGAAATATCTGATTTGGAAAATAGAACATGAATTTATGTTCAATAGTTTTACAATCTGGTTCTCTGTGTTTATTCACTGGCACAATCTCGCATACAGAATCCTGCAATGTCTGTTCTAGAGATGCTGTGATGGGAATACGAGGACAGGGCTGTGTTCTATAAGTCTCATCTCTGCTAACTCTGCAGTCTCATGACCCAAAAGTGCTCCATCGTGCAACACCCGTTAGAAAGCATTATTATAGCTTACTAAAAAACAGAACAGATCAACCACATCATATTATTAATCATGGCTACGGCAATATTACTACTCTAATGCCATCAGCATTAGAAAAACATTGTGAAAAGCAATCTGTCTGTGCCGATGTGCCGATGTACTGTACCAAGGTAAGTGTTTAAAATGGACGCCTCCTCCAGAAGTAGACTGCTGACCTTCAGCAGTATACTGCAGCCTAGTCCCTAAAACACGGAAAGGCAGCAGTCCTATACAACCACATTCTGGGACTTTAAATACTTTCTGCTTATGATTATTGTGGGATTTTTCCCTAAGCCGAAGAACCCTCCACATAATTAAAAAATTATGAGAAAACTAGGGAACAAGAAGGAGTAAGTGACTCTCTGTCTGACCCTTGTCCTCAGCACCTCTATCCCTTTCCAGACTCTGTTCTTCCTCTCCAGTCAGAGACACCACACCCTGCTGCAGCACCTAGCCCCTGCAGTCTCTGACCGGCCACTTACTTGCAGCTCTCGAGGCTCAGAGTCTCACTGCACCTGCAGAAAGAGCCCCAGAGAAAGGAGCTCCGCACAGCGCCGGGATGCTTGGAGGTGCTGGAGTGCGAGTATGTGCTGTTAGGAATGATCTGTCCTGCCAGTGGAGGGTTTCCATCTAGTCTCTCTGTCGGCCCCCAGTACTCACCTACATACATGACCCCTTCCTTGGTCTTGGCCGCCGCCTCCTCCACTCCCTGCTTGGTCTTCTCGGCGGCAGCCACCACCCCTTCCTTGGCTATGGAGAAGCCCTTCTTCAGCACATCCATCCTGGGCTACAGAGGTACAGGCGCTATCTCGTGCAGAGTAGTTTCCTCCTCCGAGGTTCTGTCCGTTACTCAGAGAGCAGCTTCTGCAAGAGGGTCCACCGGTCGCAGAGGCAGCGGCGGAATCACAGGGAGAGCGAGTGCGAGACAGCGAGAGGAGGGAATGCAGGGAGACTGGTCCCTCTGGATGCTGCAGTGTATTTAAGTCGAACAGCACCCCCCACATCCCCCCTCCTCTCCTGCATCATGACTGCTCACTCCAGCACACACACGCCTTCTCTGGGCAGGCAGGCTGATTGCATTATTAATAAGATGGGCTGTGAAGAGGAAATTCTCTTGGTTTGTAAGCATTTCTGTGTGATCGCTTATCTGTTTTGTTTAAGGGGGCAGTAAAAAAATTCTATAAGCAGGCTTACAACTGCAAAATATAAAAGAAATGTAATCAGTCCAAGCTGTAGGCAGAAAACTTACACTCATACAATAATATTCACTCATCTTTCAAGTCTTTCTAAACAGGACTTATTTCTCAATGATACATTCTCTGCCCTTATTGGATTCTACCATTCTAGCCACTGACAGATGCTTTAGGGAACAAATTGTTTTAACATGAGAACAGCCAAGAGTTGTCTATAGTTGTACAGTTATCTATACATATTCAAGATATATACATATACTGGGAAATGTGTGTAAATGGCATGCCAAAAGAATGTATATTACCAGTGGAAAAGCAGAATGACTCTCTGTGATCCCATTTGTGAAATACTAGTAACCCCAGTGCTCACACAGTCTGCAAAGGAATACTGTATATGTATTTCACCTGTCCATGGAAATTAACCAATTATGGTTATGGCATTTTTCACACACTAATAACAACCCACTAATTAACTCCCATGATCCTCATCTGTTTACGAGCTGACAGCTGAGGTTGTTTTAGGAAGAGCAGGAGTCTGAGGAACTTGTAAACTATTCAGAATTAGAAAACCTGTAGCAGAGGTTTCATATTTTCACCCAAGTGGCATGGCTTTGTCATATGGCTTTGATTCACAACATGGGCAGGAATGTGTATTTTCTTTTTCAATCACTTGACTCCCATAAAATGCTGTTTTCACTATAAACTCTCCATCTCTAAACACTCTGAGTGGAGACAGGCCACATGAGGGAGAATTCATCTTCACAAGAATGTTTTTCCCTTTTTCCTGAAGCCTAACTCTTTGAAGATAGCATTGTTTACTGGTGCCCTTGTCCAATGCTCAACCCAGCTGTGACTCCAAGTGGCTCACACTTGTGCTGCAGACTCCGTTCCCCATTCTCCTACCTCAGTCTGTGAGTTTGATAGCGTGAAACACTTAAAATAACCATAATCAATCCAACAGACTACCACAGGAGTATCACCTTAATATCTTCAGTTTTTCACCTGACATCCGATACCGATCACAGGTATAAATAAAGGACCTGTCATTGCCCCTAACCCTAATCTTCACATAGCACTATCTCTAATGATTATATGACCAACATCAGAATTCAGAGGAAGTGTGTGAAACTCTTTAACCCCTATGCCTGTCTATAACCTCAGCACTTTACAGAACAACAACAGCAAAAAAAAAGAACAAATTGAGAGGAAATAGTAGATTACGTATTGAATATGGTAGGAAAGCAATACATCAGTACAGAATCGGTTAAATAAAACCGAAAAGAAGGTCTAGATTTGAAATTCTACATTTAAAATATCTAGATTTGAAAGAGCTCAGGGAAGATGACTCTCTGATATTCTTAGGGATAGAGTTCCAGAGCTTTAGGGTACAGCAGGAGAAGGCCCTGTCACCCACAGAGTGAAGACAGGCTTGGAGGACAGATAGGAGATCAGAGCTAAATGAGAGAAGGTTGCAAGGTGGGTAGTAGGACGATATTAGTTCAGAAGGGTACAGAGATGCCAAACCATGCAGAGTCTTGTTTGTGAACATCAGGATTTTGAAATCGACCCAAAACCTGACAGGACTCTGACAACCTGACAGTATAAGGACTCTAGGTTAGGAGTAATGTGATCACTTACATTAAAATGTAAAATGGTTGACCAGCTTTTCAGCAACAGTTAGAGACAACATAGTATATTGTCTAGCAATATTTCTGAGATGGAATATTTCTGAGGCGGAATGGATTAAATATCACCCCCAAGTTCTTTACTTTAGGTAGAAACTCAAGTACAGTACAATCCACAGATAGGGTTACAGCATTGGTTTTACAAAGTTAATGGGAGATGCCAAGAACCATGACTTCAGTCTTGTCACAGTTTAGATCAAGGAAATTTTGAGTCATCCATGTTTTTATTTTAGAGACGCAATTAGAGAGAACAGAGACAACCACATCAGGGTCAGGTTTGGTATGGACGTACATTTGAGTATCATACAAGTATAGAACTGATCATTTAGACCATATGATCTTTAAAGCTTACCAAATGCAGAAAAGTAAATGCTGAAAAGAAAGGGGCCCAGTATTGAGTTCTGAGGAACACCAGACTTAACAAGTCCAATTTCAGAGCTAAAGCCACCAAGAGATACAAAATTACAGTGATCAGTGCAATAAGAATTACACCATTTAAAAGCAATGTCAGTAACTCCTGAAACAGTCTCAATATGAGAAAGTAAGATTATAAACGTTCTCTGTCCCTAACACTCCCCTGTCCCTAACCACAGGCTGTCCCCATCCCTAACAGTGACCCTGCCCCTAACCACTGGCTGTCCCCTGTCCCTAACAGTGACCCTGTCCCTAACAGCAGGCTGTGCCCATCCCTAACAGTGACCCTGTCCCTATTAACAGGAGTACAGTGTGTATTCCTGTGCTATTCACTGTATGTAATGGAACATCATTCATTATTACCCTTCTGTTGTGCCTGTCGGACAGTTTTTTTTCTTGCAGCCTTGCTGTCATTCTGTTTATGTGTGTCCTCCTACTTGCCTGTTGACCTAGACTTTGTGACTTAAATTGCTTTTGTGAGTTCTGTGTGCTCTTTTGTCTCTGCGATCTTTAGGAAGATAACCCAAAGTTATCCATGGGTTTATGTGTAGTTACCACTGTGTCTGGTTCCGAGGAGGAGTGCCAGTGGCCATTTCAAGACGCAGGTATAAGTCTAAAGCAGGAATTCCCATCCTGACTTGTCAGTTCTGACTCAGCCACACTAGAGCCTTTAAAGGGAGACAAGAGCTTCTGCTTTCTGCTCCAGCCAGGCTCTGGGAAGCCTATATGCACACAATATTTACTGAATTGGCTCTTAAGATGTGAGTTCTCATCTGGAAGGATCTCCATAAAGACTCTGTACCACAGAACCTGTGAAGGTTTGGCCAGGAGAGCCCTCCCTGTGGCAGGCCTCTGGGAGTAGGAGGGTCGGTATCACTGAAGGACACTGCAGATTATAACTTTCAGAGTTGGAAACTGGGATTTTACACCAGTGGGGTAACATTGTCAGGTGTGAGTATCTCTGCTGTGGACATTTAACAATCAGAAAAGGCACTTAAACCACATTTCAACAATTTCCATAGGATACAAACAGAAATTCTGAGCACATTTGACTTATTTTCATGGGTCTGCTGCTTAAACTGCAGAGACATGCTAAGCACATTTGAAATTGTAAAAAAGCTGAATCATTTGTGCGATCCATTTTTGAACGGTTTTGAGTTCCTCTCAGTTGTTTCCAAGGCAGAAGGCCTGATTAAGCACTTCAGCTCTACAGGCCTGCAGTGGCCAGTGCCCCTGGGGCCCCAGGCTCCATTCTCTTCTTGTTGGCTGAAGGCCACAGCAGGAGTATTAATAGAACTGCTAATTTGTCAACATGGTGCAAAGATGTGTGTTGTTACTGGCTCTCATAGGTCTTCGCTGATCTCTTCTCCCTGACCTGGGGGCCAACTAGCTAGTGGGCAGATGAGCACAGATGACAGCAGCCAGGGCTCCAGAGACTTCAACATCTCTCTGCAAAATAATATCCACTTCTTACACTCTCCACCCGCCGAAAGACAAAGTCAGCAGCAAACTAAGGCCATGAAAACAGCCTGGACTGAAAGATTAAAGATGTGCAACCTCTGGAGAAAGGTTCTACGGTTTTATTTATGCTGTCCAGGGATTTTGGGATTTGAGAAGAGTCTTCACTCAGTCTTCACGCAGGCAGCAAAGAGTAAAACCAGCATTGCAAATTGTAGAAGTCAAGTCACATTTAAAAAAAAGACATTTTCTGAAGGCAATGTTTTTAAAAATAAACAACAAAGGCATCTCTTTATGCTTTCCCAGTTTTGAAAGCTGCAATGTTAGACACCTGCTACTAGAGCAGGTGTATCCAATACTGGGGGCAAGTTTCCAAGGTCTCTTTAATGAGAAACCAAAGAGCTGGGAGAAGCTGATAAACTGGTCCAGTGAAGCCAGTAACCAGATGATTTCACTGAATTAGTGCTGAGCTGGAATGAAAACCTGCAGGCCCACCGGCCCTCCAGTACAAGGACTGGATACCCCTGTGCTGGAGGATTGGATCCTTTAGACATGGGTCACTGATCTATTTGGGCAGTTATAAAGCCAGTTAGGATACAGCAAGTTTGCAATCTTGCAGTGACCCTGCACCTCACTAGGCTAACGTGAGCACAGTGAGAGCTACATCGGGCCATCCCTTTCTCTCCAAGCTACGCTGTTGGCTCAGAATGAAAAGTGTTCTGTCACAGAGTATGTCCATGCAGGCCTGAGGGCAGGAAAATGGAACAGACATAAACACATGTGAAATGCATTCAAAACATTCAGTCCCTGTTCTATGACGCCCTTGTGCTGCAGTCTGGAGACAGAATGGAGCCTGCAGAAATCTTGGCCATTGCAGAGCTGCACAGAAGACAGCAGCCACAAAGAGGAAGAGACATAAATAATCATCATGGCAACTTGCTCATTACTGAGCTGCAGCAGTGGCTCATGAAAGTGCCCATTAACAGGAGGGTACAAAGTGATTCACAGAGGGCTGTGGCATTTCCCTGGTGACCACCCTGGCATGCACTATGGGTAGCGCAGAGCTGCACAAAGCCATTTCAGCTCCCTGTTCCTCCTTACTGAGTGCTGTTGCCAGAGAGAGTCCTGACATATTAAAATGAGCAGCCATGAGCTGCAAACATCTTTCCTCAGCTCAAAACAGCTTAAGCTCGGACTGAGCCCAGCAGTGGCTGATTCCAGGCTGCCAAATGAGCTTCAACAGCATTTCAGCACATAC